TTAACTCATTTAAATTATATTTTTTGAAATATGATAAATTATAATTTTTGAAATGTTATGTATACTTTGCTTTATTTGTTATGCAAATTATGAACACTTTTAGTCATGCTTTCAAGTAACAAAAACACATTTTTAAGATTAAAAATAAGGCTTTCATCTGTTCTTTGAGATGCTTTGAGTTTCATCTCAGCCTAATATATATTTGTTATACAAACGTTTCGTGCTAGGAATATGGAGATTGTAAACCTTCTAAAAAGCAAAACTTTGTACGTTTAAAAAAGAAAAAGTTTAATGGAAATCAATTCACAAAAGCAAAAAAGCAGAATGTTGTGTCTGTTCAATACGAGGTAACGTCTTCAAGTAGAAGAAAATTAGTTGGAAAAAAATGTCAATGCAATGACACAAACAAAAGTATTAATAACAATAAAAATTATTTATGTATTGTAAACTTTTGGAATTTAAAGAATCTAGTATCACTTCTAAAATGCCATGAGTGTTCCAGTACAATAACGTTAACAGATAACCAAACATCTTAAAAGGGTTTTTGTCATTTATTCAAATTTATTTGTACTTGATGTAATTGGAATGAGTCTTCATACACACCAGTGAAGTGTTCAACAACAGGTAAGTCTCAAAGAAAAACTGTGTTTGAAGCAAACCAACGTGCTGTTGTTGCTTTTCGTGAGATAGGAAAAGGTTTCAGTGGAATAGAGAAATTTGAAAAATGTATGAATATGTTTAGTAAGACAAACAATTCATTTAATTACTTACAAAAAAAAGTTGCAAAGGAATATAAAAATGCAACCATTGTATCCATAAAAAATGCAGCTTGTAAGGAAATAGACTTTAATAATGAACCAATAAGAAGATGTATTAAAATTGATGGTGCTTGGCAAAAAAGAGGATATGTTTCATTAAATGGTTACGTGTCTGGAATCATTGCAGACAAATGTGTTGATGTAGTAGTACTTTCTAAGTTTTGTAGGGGATGTAAAATGTGGGAGGTTCTTTGAAATATAAAACTTGGAAACTATCTCACAGTTGTTCAATCAATCATTTAAAATCTTCTCGTTCTATGAAAAGTGCTGGTGCGATAAATATTTTATAATTTTCAATGGAACAGTTGTTCCATTGAAAATTATAAAATCATTTATGATAGATACCTTGGAGATGGCAATTCAAGTTCTTTTAAAGAAGTTGTTGATTCTCAGCCATGCAAGTCTTACAATATAACACCAGAAAAACTTGAATGTGTAGGACATGCTCAAAAGCGAATGGGATCACAATTGCGCAGTATTGTACAATCATATAAAAGTATGAAGACCCTAATTCGTGGTAGAAATAAATTGACTAAATCTGCTATAAATAGTATGCAAAATTATTATGGTCTTGCCATAAGAAAAAATTTAAGTAATGTCTATGCTATGAAGAAAGCAGTTTTTGCTATTCTTTTTCACTCAACGGAGTTTCCGGATCAAAACTTTAGACATTCATTTTTCCCACAGTCTAAAAACACATGGTGTAAATGGCAATGTGATAAAGTCGAAGTAACTTCTTTCTATAAAAACAAGATATCACTACCAAAGTGGATTTTAATAATAAGGTATCAGCAGATACCAAGTGTATCTGCTGATACCTTATTATTAAAATGTCTCCATGGGGAAACTCAAAATGCTAATGAATGTCTTAATTCATTAGTTTGGCAAGTGTCTAAAATCAATTTTTGTTACCAGAGAGGTTTTTGAAATGGCAGTTTGCTCTCTAGTCTTACATTTTAATGATGGAGGAAATGGTGTTAGAGAAGTTTTATAACCATTTGGATGTGATGGTTTTGTAACAGCCGCTAAAACTCAGAAACAAGATATTCTTAAAATAACGCGTATGGAACACAAATCTCGTCAACCTGTAAAAGAATGTAGGAAAACTTTAAGAACGATAAAAATATCTTAATGTTGAAAACCAAAAGAAACAACTAAGATATGAAGCTGGGGGTTTTTTGATGTGTTTGTTCAACTCGTAATTGTCTAAAACTATAAAAATAATTTTCAAAACTTGATTTAATTAATTTTTAGTTTTTACAATTTTTTAAAAGTTCAAAACATTGTAATTTTAGTTAAACACCTACTTTTGACTTGAAATTTTCAGTTTGTTCATTATAGTTAAGAGATTCGTTTATGCCATGGATTTATAATACTTATAATGGGAAATATTATTTTTATGCAATGTAAAACGCAATGTTCATATTTAGTGCAATCTTTAAAAAAAAAAACATAACTTCATCACACAGGAGCATGTATTTTCAAAAACCATGGCACAAATGAGAGATAAGGTAGTTTAGAACCAGTATATAAATTTTTGGCACTATCTGATGTAAGCATTTTTAGTTGTCCTATGATGAAATTTTCATTTTTTTACACTGAAGTGTACAAAAAAGTATGGATAATCGAGGTAAATTACTTTCAACTTTTTTTTTTCAATTTTCACATATTTATTTTATTATATATAAATAATTATCTTGGTACTCTCGAGTTCCTAATAAACGTCCCTCCCCCTCTCCCCCCCCCCCCTTGTTTATTAATTTTTGGATATTTTCCCTACCCACCCTAAGCTTGTTAAGACCCCCCCCCCCCCCGTTTATTAATTTTTTACTTGTTGTCGACAAAAAAATTATATATCTCAAAAGTAAAAAAAGAAAATTCAGTGAAAATCGGCCTTTAAAATTTGAAAATAATTTTCAGTCACCGATAAAAACAAAAACTTTCAGTGTAAACAGGTTTTACAAATTGTCGGCTCATTAAATCTCGATTTGCTAAAAATGAACTTCTAGTTTATTTCTCAACAAAGCTTTAGTTTTAATTATAGGATTTAATATGCTGAATATAATTATTATACTTTGCAAAGTATAAAACTTATATCAGCATATTAAATCCTATTGAAATTAGCCTAACACTACCCTAACAGCTTTTAGAAAATGCGCTTTTGACCGCAAGTCAAATGTGCATTTAACCTGAACATGTATAATTTGCATGCCGAATAAAAAAGAGGGGAGGGGGGAAGCATTAGACACGCTCCCCCCCCCCCCCCACGTTTATTAAATTTTAGAAAAAATCTCCCCCTCCCCCCCCCCCCCCCCGTTTATTAAAATTCCCACCCCCCGTTGCACAGTAGGCCAAAATTATTATTAGCTAGACAAAAGTAATAACTTTTAAAATATTAATCAGATTTTCCCCATAATTGCCAGGTTAAGTATATTTCATAATACAAATTTAATGGTACCATTAGATTGTTTATTTAATTGCTATGGATACCTATATTCCATAGCAACAGTGTATTTTGCATAGTTACCTAAGTTAAGAGACTTTCTTAAAATGTCAAATTTATAAACTAAACTGATATTATTGCTACGATGCTATTTTATGTGTTTAAATGATGACACAAACAAAAATGAGTAATTTTTGGTGTTGCTATGCCGTTTTGGGATCTTAAAAACCAGTTATTATTTTTTTTTTTATGAAACTTGCTTAATTCAAAATTTCTTTAATTCAAAAATGGAATTAAAACTTTAAAAACAACCTTACCTAGGGTTTATAGACACAGTTAATAAAATTCGAATCAGTTGTATCTATGTAGTTCACATGTCCTTATCAACCAAATAAAAATCAATAAGTGTTAATACAGTTAGAGCTATTGAATACTTTATAAAGTATATGTAAGAGTACAAGCAAATTTGTATATTTAAAAAAACGTCTATTTACATAAAATAATGCATGTGCATTATTTTATTATAAAATAATAAATACTAAAAAGTAAACAACACCTTGAATACCAAATAAAATAAAAACTATGCAATTGCAATTTATAGTTAGTCAAAAATTAGAACCTCTTTGAGTTCATTTAGAACAAATTAAAATGTGAACATCAAGTTTGTCTTTTTGATTGGAACCATGCTGTCTTATGAATTGATATCTTGTTCATGTTGACATATTACAAATAATAGTATTAAACTAAAAAATTAAAATGATCAAAAAAAATTTTTATAGGCGAACCACCTTAATAAATAAAGCGATTTTAGATAATCACTTTCTGCACAATATTGAGTTTTAAAGGCAGTTTTAAAACTGCGAAAACACTTCAACTAGATAATATGCCACACGAAATTTTTGTCTTTTAATACAAGAATTTTACTCAACTAATTTAAATTACCACGACGAATTTTAATCTTATTGATCGATATAGGCGAAGTATTAATTTTAAATTGCAAAAAAATAATTATCACATCTAAATTTATTAATTTTTTTTTCCGTCATAGTTTTCGAATAACTGACAAATTTGGAACACCTTTCTGGTTTCTATGTCGCTAAATGCAAAAAATATCAAGTATCAAAATAAAAAAGAAATTTATCAAATTTTAAAAACACTTGATTTATTTGACTTTAGAGGACGATGTTGGCGTCCTATATATTTTGAGATCTGCGTGCCTTAAAGATTTTGTAATTAAGATTACTTGTTTTGATAAATTCTAATTTAATCTATTCAAAATGATTTATTTCAAAATGTAAAATTATAAACAGTTTAACTTTTATAATTTTACTTAATATAAAAAATTTCTTACGTTTTAAATTAAAGTTAAAAAAAAAACTTATTAAACTTTATATTACATTATTTGTATCGCTTTTTGGGAAAGCTAAATGATGATAGCACCATAAAAACAACTTAAAGGAACCTGTTACTCCTTTAATTTACTCTTTATAATTATGAAACAATTTTTTACATATTACCAAAATATCATTATAGTAAAACCGATCTTTTGCTAAAACGTTTTATTACTTTGAAACAGCTTAAAAACTAACACATGCGCTTTCTAAAGCACAACCACACGTTGCAGCTTTAACAGTGAGTTTAGGTTATACTAAGTGTATTGACAATAGTCAATATCGTTAACAGGTTCCCATAAAGTAAAAGTCTAATCATTGAAGTTACCAAGGTAATAAATATAAGTCTTTATTAAATGAGTTAATATTAGCACAATCCATCATTTAAAAGTTACAATCTAAATATCTGTTCAAATGTTTATATTTCAAAAATAATTGTAAAAAAAAAAGTCTTGATAGAAATAATGTCAATAAAATACTCTTATATATTTTATAAATGAAATAATCTGGACACCCAAAATGGGTAAATATTAAATAAACTAAACATGTTTCGACGCATACCAGCCAACATACGACAATGCATCGAGTCTTCGATACCCTATTAAAAACATCTAACTAAAACTAAAGTTTTATGAAAGGAAGTTATATAAAAATAAGAAACCGCAAGAGACAAATAGTTCACGAAGACTTTGGACTATACTTTGAACGGTTGATTCTGTTTGATAAGTATTTACAAGACTTCATTCAGTACGATTATTGAGAAGTTGCTGATACGTGAAGACACTCGAGGATTAGAAAGTTTTTGCCACTGCCTGGATAATGGATTGAAAAGAAATATTAACAGTTCATTAAAAATATACTATATAAATAAGTATAAAATCTTTATATATAGATACATTAAAAAAAAACAGTTTTAAAATCTAAGTGCAAGGATCAATTCGTAGGAAAAAAAGCTTTTTTAAGATGTTAACAATTAAACGTAGAAATAAAAAAATATATATTAGATTTCAAAAATAAACGACTATTAAGTGGTTTTCATCGCAAAATTGATCCTCACTTTTACAAAATATATTTTCTAAATAAATGCATGTCGTAATGCTGGCTGACGGATATTGCTGGGTCGATACTCTCAATGATATTTCATAACTCCAACGGCGAATAATCATTAACGATAAACGTCGCAAAAAATTACTTGCGTCCATGGCACTCATGGTGCAAACGCCAAATTTAATAAAAATTTTAGTGTGCTATAACTTATAAATAATAAAAGATTTATCAAATTTAACAAAAAAAAAAACTCAAAAACTCAAAAACCCATGTATGAATTGAAAAATTAGCTGCAAAAAGCGAGAACGATTTAAAATCAGTAAAGAAAATACTTACCGTCCTATAACTAAAATTTATAAAATTAATAGAACATACCAACAATAGTATATATGTATTAAAAAAAATTAAACTCACTTTTCTTTAATTTTTAGATAATAATGCTTTAATATATTTAATTTCTGGTAATAGATATTAAACTAGTTTAAAAAAAGTTTTTAAAAACAAAAATTTTTTCTTTCTCAAAAATTAGCTAAACAACACTCACCATTTTAGTATGGATTAAAACGATTTCCACCTCGAGATGTTCGCTGTGGACTATAACCATAACCTCCATACCCACCACCATAGTAATCATATGCTCCGTAGCCTTGCCCATAGCCATAACCTCCATACCCTTGATTGTAGCCATAAGCACCATAGCTTCCCCAATCATCCCAGCCTTGACTATATCCTGATTTACGATATGCTCCTCTTAGTGCACCTTTAAAAAACAATATATATACATATATATACTTATCCTTATAAAGTAATTTTTAATATAATAACAATATTTTTAGGGGGTTATATATACGCTCGTTATTCAAGTGATATAAGAAACCATTAAAAAAACAAATAAAACTTTAATTTAACATGTTTTTGCGTCTTAAATAAGAAAAATAAGGTTTCCAAAACCACAATGTGACATTATCACCTTTATCTTCATTTAAAGCACCTTAATTTGGAGAACACTAGTAATATTTTATTTTCAAAGACTCTCACTTTTCTCTTAAAATTATAATCTTATGCTACTTTAATTATGTTGTTCTTATTCCAGCCACCATGTTAATTTTTGAAATGCCCTGCCACGCCCTTTGATGTTGGCAAATTTATGTTGAAACCTTGAGCTTTGTTTCACCAACGTAAAATTTTCTTTGTGAGTACTCCAGTTTTTAGACTCCGGGATAAGAGTTGTTGGCAAGTCAAAGCTTGTTTTTTGAATTATAAATCGCCAAAGGTTTTTTGGTGATTTGAAAACTGGAATACCCTGCATTTTTAAATTTACCATCATCATCATCATCATCATCATCATCATCATCATCATCATCATCATCATCATCATCATCATCATCATCATCATCATCATCTGGTTCCATTTATATATTGCAAAGTTTTACCATCAAGATGAGCAACTACAAGAACCAAGGGTTGTAAATCTTTTTTTAACGCTACTGCAAGAGTTTCATGGAATGTAGTTTAAGCTTCTAGAGAGGATAATAAAAATAGTAACTATTCTATACCAATACCAATTGCACCTAGGGTAGAAGGGGTGATCAACAATGTTGAAGTTCAGTCTAATGATGGATTAAAAAGTTGATAATAAAGAATACAACGCTTGGATACCTAATTTAAAATTGATAGTTGTATAGTGCTGAATGTTGTGAACATTATAGACAAGTAAAAATTTTTGGCGTCTGAATCAACATTAAAACTTATCGCCAGCATTTGTTATCCAAAGACTTTGTTTATCAAAGGTTCTGTAGATAAAACTTTTCTTTCTTTAAAAGTGTTGAGTGAGAAATTTTTTAAACTGATCAAAATATATTAGTAAATAAGGTTTTTAATTAAAAAATTAATTTTTAAAACTTAATAAAAATTACTCATAGCTAAATAAAAAATAAACAAACACAAAAAAGCAACAAAAGAGCCAATTAAAAAGGAAACAATAAAGGAGGAACTGCTTGCTTTTATTTAGTTTTCTGATGTCACCGACATCATAAAATTAAATAAGGATTTTGAGGACTTTGCAAAAGAAGTCAACAACATAACACTTTCCTCTATGACTAGTCATGCCATCACTATTATTTATATTTAATTAAGATTGTTAAATTTTTAGGACAACATATAAATGTTGTGTTTAGCATGCTAACACTTCAAAGAATCAAGTCATCACTTGTGGTTATTTTAGGAAAGGTCAGCTTTTATCCCAACATTTCAAAATGCTTAACTTAATTTTGAGGGCTGCTTATTAAAATTACATTACAGAACATTTGAGTAGTTACTATCAATAACTGTTTATTTTATTTTTAGTTTAAATGTTTAAAAAACTTGAAACAGTCAATACTTAACAGTAATCAATTAAATGTATTTGATTTAATATGTTAGATTTAATAAACCTCAACTTTTGAGAATTTAAATATTTTCTTAAATAAAATAGTTTATGTATAACTAAAAAAGTGTTCACAACAAATTTTGTACATAAAAGGAGTAAAATTTCCACTTGTTTAGAGATGAAATCGTCGTTTATCAATTATATTTTCTCTAAAATGATTTTAATGTAGCTCTATTTCCAAAAATGCCTATTACAACAATTTAAAAAACAGTCCACCTAAAAAACTCTGAAATTGTCAATGCAAGTCCACTTTAAAAGAAACACTAATTATTTGTTACTCAAACTAGAAGAATGAAAACAAAGGTTTTGATAATCACACATTAAACAGCAAATAGTAGTAATTGGATAAGATCTATTGTAATCAATGCAAAATAAACTACATCAAATTTTTTTTATCTCTTTCAATACCCAACATTAAATCTCAAATTGATTTAAAAATTAATGCAGCAAAAGGTTCGTTCTAATTTTTGTAACAATTTATTTGCCTAGACATAACAAATAAAGAACAAATTCATTATCAGAACATTTTTGTAATATTTTTCAAAATTAAAAATGTGTAAATATGGTAGCAAATAAAATATTTGTAACCTATCTCTGACAACTATTTGATTAACCATGGCATTCTAAGACTCTGTTTAATTATTTGCCAATCTTAAAAAGTTGAAGTATTAAAGCATTTCAAGAATTCGTACATATAAAATGTGATTATGCTGGTAAAACATTTTAACACAGCACAAGAAACTAAAGTCAAGTAAATAACTTCCTTTTCAAATATGGTAAGCATTCCATTGACCACGTTATAGATTAATTTTATAAGAACATTTATATGAATATGAAATATTGTTACTTATTTTAATTTATATCTCCTAAACCATAACTTTAAAATACAAGAGGTAATAAGGAACAAGGAAATTTTTTGCAATTACACAAAACATAATGTATAATTATATACCTGCATCATTCACTCTTGGTTTAGCTTTGCTTATTCTCATAGAATGACCAGATAAAGTAAACTTTGATTCAGCAATAGCAATTCTATCTGCGTAATCTTCATTTGAAACAGTAATAAAACCAAAACCGCGATTTTTGTCTGTTAAATTTCCATCCTCATCTTTTGTTTTTAAAAAATTAATTTCTTCAATTTTTCCAAATTTACTTGGATGACGACTTCTTAAGTAAGTTTTCAAATCTTTAGCTTTAAAATCTTCAGGAATATTGGCTACATGAAGTTTTTTTACTTTGAAGTGACCTGTAGAGTCATCTTGACCACGTGGTACTGCTCTTTTAACATCTAATTCTTTTTCAAGAAACTTATGTGGGCGACTTAACAAACATTGCTCTAAATCATCACACTTTGCAAAAGTAACAAATCCAAACAATCTGTCACTTTTTGAATTTTCTTTTCGTATAATAATAAAATCTGTAATTTCGCCAAACTTTGAAAATAACTCCTTGAATTGTTCATCAGTTGTAGCTTTATCAAGTCCACCACAAAACATTTTTCTCATCTCTTCTCTTTCATCAAACTCTGGAGGACATATATAGTCTATTTCTTCATCTTCAGAATCTTGTTCATCACATTTATCATCTTTAGGCTCATTTTTTGTTGATAACTCCATAGGTTTCTCTATATTATCTAATTTCTGATTTGATGCTTCCGGTGTTTTCTCTTCAACTTCTTTATCTAAACAAATTTAAAATCCAATAAAAGCACAATTTAATTAATCAATTATGACAAACCTTCATCTATATTGCTACAAAAGTTTATATAAAAGTTAATTTCAAACATTATTGTAATATTAAGATGCTTATTTATACAGTTGAGCTCATGTAAATCAAATCCTGTAGGGGGTTGTCCATAAATTATGTTAGCAATTTTTGACAGTTACGTACTTCTATCTCCACACCCTCAAGTAACAAATTATCATGTTTTACTGCCCCCTACTTTCTAAAATTATGCAACAAACCCCCCCCCTAAAAATTTCTTTGCATGTTTTTAGATACGTTAATATTTTAATGTTTCTTTGCTTCTTTTAGTTGACTAACTAATACATTTCAATGGGACGACTAAATAAGTGCGAATTTCATAAATGCAAACTGGCTTAAGTGCGAATGGCGTTAGCGCGAATTGGCATATGTACGTACTGGCCTAAGTGCGAAGCAGTTGCAAAAACTGGCATAAGTGCGCCAAAAAATTTTGCAAACATTGGCATAAGCGCCAATTGGCATAAGTGTGAATCAGTTGCAAAAAATGAATTGGCATAAGTGTGAATCAGTTGCGAACTGGCATAAGTGCACTGAACAAATTTGATAACATTGATAAGTGCGAATCAGTAGCAAAAACTGGCACAAGTGCCAACTGGTTTAAGTGCGAATTTGCATAAGTGTGCTGAACAAATTTGCAAACATAAGGAAAGTTATTCTTAAATTACTTAAATTATTAATTTTTTAATATTTTTTTCTGTTTAAATTTATTTAAATTTCTTATTTTGTTAGTTTTTGGCTTTTGAAACATAATTTTTTCCGCAACACTTAATATAAAAAAAATTGCTAAAGGCCGTGACCAAGTTGTCTAAAATAAATACTCACAGTATTATTTTGTACTCATAAATACTAAGATATAGAAAGACCTGTAAAACTTATAGTGAAAAATAAGTTGTCTATCTACAGAGCTTCTATGGACTTGGACACTCCTGAAACAACTTTAAGAAGACACAGAAATCAAATCATGGAATCAGTTTAAAAAAAAAGAAGCAATATTGAGCTAGTAGAAAAAGATAAATTTCTAGTAGATTACATTCTAAAAGCTGCTGATCTTCAGTAAGGATTGATTTTAAAAGATGTTCGAAAATTGGTTTACTAATTTGGGAAAACAAACATAAAAAAGTACAATGTATCTTGAGATGGAAAAGATTGGCTTTAAATCTTTTGAAAAAAATACTCTAAAGTATTATTGCTTAGAAAGTCTGAGGCAACAAGTCTGGTGCTCTCACTTGCATTTAATAGAGAAAATATAACATTTACTTTTAAGTACTTTAAAATAGCAATTGAATAAAATCAAGGTATTACAGCATTTAACATATGGAATATTGATGAAACTAGTGTTAGCACTGTCCATAATCCTCCCAGAATCTTAGTAAAAAAAAGATCAAAAGCAGGTTGGTGGAATGACTAACAGGTTTGGCCAGGAAGGCATGTGAATTCATGCCATAATATGACCACGTAAATACTACTTGATTTTGAAAACCTGACTACGGTGGTACACAGATGTCTTAAATTTGTATACTTTTAAAAAATATGCTAAGAAAATTTATCTTAACTATAAAAAAAAACTTAAAAAAAAAACTTATCATAAAAGAAGCAAATAAATCTTAAATAAAAAAATAACTTAACTAAAACAAAAATAACTTAACTAAAACTTAAATCAAATTTTAGTTTTTAGTTAAGTTATTTTTTTACATAAGATTATTTTTAAAAAAAACAAACAAAAAAGACAAAAACAAAAAAACTTTAACTTAACAAATATAAATAAACTATAACGATAAAATTATTTAAATTATGTTGAGAATAAATAACTTTGAATTGTTTATCTTTACTAATATTTTTGTATATATTATATTATGCGAAGCCCTTTTAAATAAAGTAACAACTTATATCTAAGTGATATAAGAGTGTATTAACTTTAACAATTCTTATATGTTTAATAAAGGGGCAATCATTTTTTAAAGTCACATCATAGAATTTAAATTATTATTATTTTTTTAAATAATATTTATTATAAAAAATCTTATATAATTTCATTGATACTTTAATTAAAATCATTAGTTACTTTATTTTAAGGCGCTTTGCTAATATTAAAACATTAGTAAAGATAAAGCTTCGAATATATTTATTTTTAATGTAATTAAAAACAATTTGAGCGCCTTTTTAAAATGTTAAAAAACAATGGTCAAATCATCAAAACAATATATTTGGTTTTTGCACGCACTTCTGCCAAGCCTGGACTAGCGGTAAATGAGGATATAGTATAACAATGATTGGAGCAATAAATTCTGGAGTTGGCTATATGCCTCCAATGTTGATTTTTCCTTGTAAGAACTTAAGGACTTTATGTTAAAAGGGTTCCCAGAAGGTACATATGGTGGAGCAAACTCAGCCGGCACAAACATGTTTTTTTTAGGCGGTTTGTTTTTCATTTAAAATGTTAACACTTTTAGATGTCTAAATTTAGATAAATTTAAGATATCTATTAGTAGTCATCTTTCAGACAGTTTGAGACTATTATTTGTCGTCTCAAAGATAAATACAATTAGATGTCTTATAGTTATTTGAATTTAGATATCTAAAGATGTTAACATTTTAGATTCTAAAAATACGTATTTGTGCTGGCTGGGAACCCATTCAAATGGTCAAGAGAAGAATTGTTTCTAGAACTTAAGATAAATGTTGCAAAGCATACTCGTTCAAGTAGGAAAGATCCATCCATTCTTTTATTTGACAACTATGAGATATATATTAATACCAACAATCCAGCTGGCAAAATATTACAACAACAGAGATTACAACAACAACATTTTATCCACACACTAGTTACAAAATGCAGTTCTTGGTCCATCTAAGATTTATTACAACAAAATGAAGGATTGGATGTTAAAACCAGATAATACTGGGAAACCAGCAACAATCTCCAATATATCAGAAATTGTTGACACACAGTTTTCTAGTGAGTGACCTTCATTCACTGAATAAAAACATTTTTAAAGATTTAGACATAAAAGTAAGCATACTGAAGACTTTTTGAGCAGACTAGGCCTTTAAACAATACTGAGGTGACAAACTCTAGTTCTGCTTTTTTTGCAAAATTAGGGCTAACATTGTGTCTCCTGATATTATTCTACCCTACCCAACCACAGAAACAAATTAGAAAAAGTTGTCCTAAGAAAAAATCTTGCATTTTAACTTCCAGTCTTGTAACACTTTATACTAAAAAAGCAAAAAGCTGAGAAAACAAAGACAAAAATCTGGCAATAAAATGAAAGGCGAAATTGATAACAAACAACCGGTATCTGTTTTGCAAAAAAGGCTTAGCTTTTCAATGAAATATATTTGTAGATGGAATATCTGACAAAATGTCAGCTCAGTCAGAAGTAGACTTCGAAGTTATGAAAGATTCAGATTTTCATCTTGGTAAAAATTCAAGGCTGTGTATAAGTATTCTTTTCAGATGCCACATCTCTAGAAAAAACTATCATTTGGCATTAACTTTGATTACCTGAATATAGAGTAGATAAATGATAAATCAAAGCGAAAGACTTAATATTACTAAACTTTAATGTAGACATTTATTATAACTTGTTTCTTAATCAATTTTATTTCCTACGTAAATTTATTACTTCTAAGTTTAAATTAGTTTAAATATATTATCATATATAGCTATATAAATTAATATATAGTTTAAATAAATCTAACTAGTTAGATTAATATTAGTTCCAATGAGGCTGATGTGAAGTCCGATTATCCAATAAGTAAAAATTATATCAAATATCTATAAAGTTGAGTACTTAACCCATTAAAACAATAATACTTTCAAGGTATAACATGTTATTTTTATAAAACTTGTTTAAACACTAAATAAACTAGAATCTTAGCTTTTTATTTTTATTATTTTTATTTTTTTAACATCTTCGCTTCCAACAAGGCTGCAAGCAACCACTAATTAGTGTTGGAAGTTATTGGAAGAGAAAAGATGAAGATTGTAGAGCAAGATAACGATTGACAGACCACTTAATAGATTTCAAATTACATGAATCAGGAAAGCAAGATGAAGGAAGCGAATTCCAAAGAACTGATGTTCGAGGAAAAAAACTAGACAAATAAGAGTTTATGGAGCACTTAGGAACAGTAACAGAAAATGGATGAGACTTAATTGAATGACGAGTAACACAAGAATGAATTTTAGTAGATGGCACAAGAGACGCTAGCTCTTTAGAGCAGTGCCCATTATAGTATTTGTAGAAAAGAGAAAGAGAAGCAACATTACAACGATGTGACAGGTTGAAGGTTGGCTGCAAGAGCAGGTCCAACTATGTTTACAATGCGTTTTTGCACCTTATCTAAAAGAGAAAGGGCATCATTAGAAGATCCGCCCCAGATATGGCAACAGTATTCCATACAAGGCCGGATTTGAAATTTTTAGAGATAGAGAATAGAATCCAGAGTAAGAAAGTGACGAGCTCGATAAAGAGATGCAACCTTAGCAGATGCTAATTTTGCAATGGATTTGATATACGGTTTAAAAGAAAGATCAGAAGTAAGAGTTAATCCTAGAAGATGAATGGTAGATGACTCATCTAGTACATTACCATTCATAAATATAGGAAGATCTAAATTATTACGATAACGATTGGCCGAATAAAATTGAGTTTTATCTGAATTAAAGTTCACCAGCCACTGTAAGCCCCATGCTGTAGCAGAAGTGAGTTTTTTTTCAAGCTCAGATGCCCCCTGCAAGCAATCAGAGGGAGTTGGCTTCTTATCATATGACAAGAATAAATGGTAGTATCATCAGCGAACAATGCCACCTTAGATGTGAGAATATCTGAAAGATTGTTAATGTAAATTAAAAAGAGTATAGGGCAAAGGATTGAACCTTGAGGAACCCCTGAGGTTACAGAATAAGAAGAAGAATGCTGTCCATCAAGGACAACTTTTATACTACGATTGGAAAGGATTCAATAATCTTAAAGATGTTTCCAGATATTACTGCTAGCAAATCAGCCGTAGAACGAGAAGATCGAAATCCATATTGATGATCAGAAAGTAGGTTATAAGATTCAAGATGATAGATTAAGTGTTTGTTAATTAAAGATTCAAAAACCTTGCTTATGATAGAAGAAGACTAATGGGACAGTAGTTAGATGAATCGGATCGCTCTCTAGAATTTTTGAAAATAGGGAAAAATAGGGAAAAAAAAACAGAAGCTGCTGATAAGCAGCTTCTGTTTTTTTTCCCCTATTTTTCAGAAGACTCTGATAAGCACTTGTTAGTCACTTGTATATTAAGCACTTGTTAGTCACTTGTATATTATATAGCACTTGTTAGTCACTTGTTAGTCACTTGTATATTTAACAGAAGACTCTGATAAGCACTTGTTAAATAGTTTTGAAAGGATAAACGACAGCTCTTTTTTTTAAACTCCTTTTTTTTAAACTTTATACAACATTTATCCTAAAAGAGTTGCTTAGAAAAAGGTACCTCTTTTAGGATAACTCCTATTTTAAAACTCTTTAGACGACATTTTAAACTCAAGGTGCAAATTAAGGAATGGCGTGCAATCGAGTGTTATTGTTGACCACGCAAATGGTTTTATTTTATGACAACTTGACCACAATTGTTTATATGTTTTGATAATTTAAATATTTTAGAAATGCGCTGAATGTAGAAACGTTAAGCAGGCTTTGTCGGGAAGCGGGTGCGATTGCACTGGATAAGTGACCACGAAAATAACATTTAGTTGCGAAAAACTGGCCAGATATTTTAGTCGTTTTGAGAACATTTAAATTTATGTATGTTTCCATTAAACTTATTTTTTTCTGTTTTAAATACTAATTAAAATTATAAAGCCCACTAACTAAACAGCGTTATTGTGACTAAATGCACTAAACAACGTTATTGTGAAGCAGTTCTGCTTCCTCCTCACATAATAATTTAACGTTTTTAGTTAATTTCTATTTAGCTAATTGAATTTCTACAAAAACTAAATGATTTAATTATTTTACTTTATATGATATTTAACACATTTGAAACAATTTTTCTTAGTATACTAAGAAAAATTGTTTTAAATGTGTTAAACTTTTCAAACTACACGAAGCATAAAACAGTTATTGAAAAAACTTTTTTATTTATAAATAAATCATCTAGCGTTAGTTTTATTAGTTAAATCTTGTTGGACTTTTCACGGCCGGGGACTGCATTATTTTGGCGGCCTTTATTATGTGCCACAGCGTAAAAATGACTGAAAAAAATTCTGAATGGTCCTCTTGACTATTTCGCGGCCCCTAACATTGTGAGTCCTAAGGCTATAGCCCTTCTACTCCCCCTCCTCCTCAATCCAGCACTGGAAATAAGACAAGTATATAAATAAAAATTATATATACACTTTGATAAATCGAAAAACATTTGTTTCCTTATTAAACAATCATTATTAGTAAGTAGTTACTTTATATAAAAAATGTCACTTAATTTTATAAAAAAAATTATAAAAGAGCGACGTAAAAATATTTGCTCTAATCGTATTTATTTTGCTTAAAGTTTTTTCACGTTAAAAGCTATTTTTTTAAAAAAACTGTCTCTCATCGGTCCAGTTAATCTTATTGCGCTTTTTTGTGTGTTTTTGAAATGTTCTCAAAACGACTAAAAAATCTGGCCAGTTTTTCGCAACTAAATATTATTTCCGTGGTCAATTATTGAGTGCGATCGCACCCGCTTTCCGACCAAGCCTGGTTAAGCTAAACTTAAACTAGAAAAAAAAGTTTTAAATGTTATTAAAAATGTTATTAAAACTTATTTTTAAAATGTTTTATTAAAGTTATGCAAAACGCTTTTAAATTAAGTAATAAATTACTTCTAATGATTGTTTAATGATCAAATTTTATCAAATTTATTAAAAAGTGTTGTATATGTTGTATGTAATTTTTAATAATTTCAAGCTTTAATTAGTAATTTTAGTTTAAAAAGGTTTTAACTTTTTTAATAGGTGAAAAAAATAAATAACAAAATGCCCCTGCGAGTTAAATAAAATAAACTGTCAACAGGCAATTTAATTTGAGCATTACAACTTTATTGATAAGCACTTCATGTAATGAATTTAAAAATTATTATAAAAAATTTAAACTCATTCATTTCTATTGTAATTAAAAAAAAAAAAAAATTTCAAAAAATATAATTTTTGTTTAAAAGATTTTAATTTATATTTTTTATAAATATCAAAACTTTTGTATAACATTTTTTATTAATTAACACATGCGCTTATGTAAACAATCATTATAATTAATTTTATGGTTTATTTAAAGCCTCATGTAAAATAAAAACTTTTAAACGATTAAAAGTTATTCATAACGTAACACTTTCTTTCATTGCATTTAAATTGTTAAAACATCAATACTGCCGTGGTCAAACTCTAAAGAAAAAAACAATATTAGCGTGGTCAGTTACAGAGTGCGATCATATACAATTCCTGTCCAAGCCTGGATATCTAGAAATATTTCTGGTTTTCAAATTATTAGTTTATTAAAAACTATCAACACTGAGTTATTGAAAGGAATAATTTATATTGCAAAAATTAACAACTAAAACAAATAAATTTACAACTGCAAAAAGAATAACAGACAAAACTTAAATACTTTAATTTATTGTTTGTTTAAAGGGATCTTTAAGTGCAGAGAAGTTGTGTTCATATCTTAAATAAACCTTATTAAATAAGTTCAAAATCTGGTTTGTTTAATGAATGGTGTGTTCACCATAGAGGTTTTTTTAAATTTAATTAACACATGAGCTCAGGTTTTCCCTTTTTAAATTTGTGATTACAAGAAAAAAATTTTGCTGCATTTTAGTTTATGGAATAGAAGTGTTTCAGTTCTTAGATATCACTTTTGATAAAAAATGTAACTAAACTTTGATTTAAATAATTGCTTTTAAATAAATAAAAAACGCAACATTTTGTTTTCACAGACAAATTTTTTTTTATATTTATTTTATCAAAAGTATTATTTTGAGTTTTTATATTTTATCAGAGCGACTTGTTTTTAACAAGCCGCAACTGTATTCATTTCTCTTCATTAAACAAACTGAGCATTCTTAGAAGTTTTTATAGTTTAAATTTTTTTTTATTATTATTAGCAAGTTAACAATGAAAATATTTTTTCTTTTTTTTATACCTAAGTTTTATTATACATAACATTAATGAAAAAGGAAAAACACAAACATTAAAATATAATTTAGCTTTAAAAAAAATACTTATTTTTAATAACGTGTTATTTACACTCTCCGCCATTTTTTTTTTAAAATAAAAATATTAAACTAATCTAGGCTGCTTAACTGCAGGATTAACTTCTTTTTTTTTTAATCTGTAGTAGTTTTTCTGGACCCTGGGCCTAGCATAAATTAGTGTCAATCAATAAAAATTGCAAAACAATATTCAAACATTAAAAAATCTTTTACCAATTACCAAATGTTTTTTTATTTTTATAAATATGAAAATTACTTTATAATTGAAACTACAACTAAAATTAATTTTAATCACAAACCTAATGACACTTCCATAGGTTCTTCTTGGTTTTCGCTTATAAGAGGATCACTACTTCGAGAAAAATTATCAGAAGCTACTTGGTCAACTAAAGTAACATCTTTTACTGTATTATCGTCACAATTTTCATTTGAATCAACTGTATCTTCGAGAATCTCCTCTTCGACACTTTTACTTTCCTCTTCGACAATTTTACTTTCCTCTTTGAAACCTTTGGTCTCTTCTTCGACACTTTTGCTCACTTCTTCAACACTTTTGCTCACTTCTTCAACACTTTTGCTCACTTCTTCAACATTTTCGCTTACTTCTTCTAAATTTTCATTGCCCATTTCATGCAATGTTTCAGTTGTATTTTCATTTGTTTTTGAGTTGCTTTCTGTTAAATTAGCTAAATTTACATTATCAGTTATAATTTCATCATTAGCAGTTATATCTTTATCTGTATTAGTTAAATTTTCAGGTGTATCTTTATTTTCATGAGATAAATGGTCTTTAGATTTGTTTTCAATGTCTTCTTCAATATTTAAATTTTCTTCTGAAAAGTTATCTTCACAATTTTTTTCATTGGTAATATTTTCATCTTCGTTATTTTCAACATCTTCTTTTATTGCTTCCTGTTCTTGAGGAATATGATTTTCTTTTTCAATATTTTCCATAAGCCTTTGAATTAATTCATCTTTTTTTCCTTTAGTATCAAGTCCTCTTTTAGTTAGTTCAACTTTTAGCTCAGCAACTTTTAACTTTTGGATGGCCGCATGGTTTAATTCACTCATTTTTTATCTAAAATTTAACTTAAAAGTAAAACATATATTTTTTAGAAAACATATTTCAAATATACATACACACTTTGCAGAAACATATTATATATTTATATATATATTTATATATAATTTAATAGAAACTGGCAAGTGTTTTGTAAGTATCATTTAAATTATAGCAATTTTTGAAAAAAAAAGTAACACAAAATTGGTTGTTTTTTTACTTGTTTTTCCATTAATTTTTCATTAACAAAAATTACTATTTTAAAAATAAAATTAAACAAATTCAGGAGTTAATACTTTAATTCATTATAATACTTATGTAATTTTATAAACCAAAAAACTCGAATTATAAATTGAAAAATTTAATATCCATTAAATAAAATTCAATATTCATATAACACTTAAAAGTAAAACATAATTTCTTTATAATTTGTGTCAAACTGTGTCAATGCTTGTATTATGTTTTGTATTATAAAAAATATTTAAAACAAAATTAAGTTTTAAACTAATTTTAGATGAACTGCATTAATTTAACTTTCACTCACATTACTAAAGATGATAACGTCGAAGCCTGAACGGATTAACACGCATGCAGTTCGAAGAAATTATTCGTACTCCAAAGGAGAGATTATTTGAAGCACATTTGGCACTTAATGATTACTACCTGTAAAGCGGAACTTAATGCATTCAAAGGACTAAAGTAAAATATTTACTTTAATGTGAGTTTGATAAACTTTATTAACAACTTAACCCATTAAAAACTTAAACGAGCTAAGATTTGTACAGGGAGTCAAAATTTACAATAGTCAAACATGATAAAGGTGGCCTAGATTTACAAAATCAAAGGTGCATTTATTTTTTTGATTCATTGACACCAATATACGCAATTATTTCGCTTTGAGATGATAGTGTACAATAACAACAAGACCCTGGCGGATTTAAAGAAAATATTTTTTCAAAATAATGTATTAGCTGTTTATTAGTTACTAAGATTTTGTTTCAAAACCTACTGTTGCAAAGGTGTACTTAAGAGACAATTTTACGGGGAGGGGGGGTGGAGGAGAGGGTGTCTTGTGTTGGATTTTTTGAGGAATATAGTCGGATAATCAGGTATTTGACACATCTCAGTCAGGTGAATTTTAGTTTTGAAGACTTTTTGTTATTTATTTTTTTAAGAAGCAGTCGATACTTTTAAGGATTCGCCCCCTCCCCCCTTATTTTATTCGTAGAATTGCCTCTGTAGTTGAAACGAATTTTTAAATTTAGAGTGAAAAAGATATACCGAATATAACAACTAATATTTATTTGAGTTATTATAGATCATAATGCTTGTATAGTTTGATTTTTCTTAACGATTTTACTTAAAAAATATCAAATAATAATGTGCTGGTTTTTAAAAAAAAGGTTAAAATGCCATTTTATGACTTTTTTTAGTCAGTTAAACTAAATTTAAGTTATCTATTTAAAATCTATTTATAAAAACTATACACACGTATATTGTACACTAGAATATGTAAACTTAAATTAGTTTTTTTCTATTATTATTATTATTCTCCTACTATTATTTACTACTATTTTAACATTATTTTCAAAATAATGACATAATTGTGAAAAGCTAAATACTTTGCAATTTCATTAAGAAATTACTCTGAGCTAAATTTGTCAAGTACAGTTAACAGTATAATTAAGTTTTCTTTTAAAATATATTTTGTCACTTTATTAAAGAATAAGAAGAATATTAAATGCTTTAGAAGCTCTACTAAAGAGCGTCGTTTAGAAGTCATTTTTACATCTAATCTTAAGTGGAGCACGCATATTCAATTAGTTGTCTCTAAATCTTTATATGCTAAAAAAGATATTCACTTTCATTGATAAAAGTATGGCTTTCAAGTTATATGAAGAGTTTTAAAAACTGATTAGCCTTGGTTGATTTGTTCAACACAAAGGAACAAAATGGGTTTCCAGCTTGAGATATCTTTAATTCTGCGAAAAGCTAAAAATGTTAAATCTACCATCACTTGAATTGTGGCGCCTACGATACGATCTAATCCAAATCTTTAAATTAATACATTGTTTTGATATAATTATAATATAAATTGACCAAAATTTTTTAACTCCTTGTCTTGTGGTCACCATTCTAAAATAAGGCGTGAGTATTTTTCAAATTGCTTTCCAAGACACAATCAGTTATATAATACTACCTGAGGTGGTTCTCTATTCCACTGTACTTTTTTTTAAAGTAGACTAGACTCCTGGTTGTGAAAAAAAAAATTGGAGCAATTATTTATAAAACTGGTTGTTTATAGAAGGCTGTTTTCCCTGCTCGCTGTATGTTAGGTAACGCGGGATCACTTTGACATGTGGGTAACATTGACATGTATTAGATTAAATACTTTTACCAGTCATCCTTTGATTATTGTTTAAATAGGTTTAACAGATTTTGTAGCCAGATATTAAATGAACAAATATAACAAACTATATTTATCCACATAATAGTAAGTGTAAATAACAACACAATACAGAGGGCATATGTTAAACTAATTTCTAGTTTTTTGTTACTAAAAAACTTTAGTCAAAAGATAAGCAAAACCATACATAATATCCTTTTTACATGTGTTTTTATGATGTTGCATTTAAAAAATTTTTGTAACATTTTTTTTTGTAACAAGATTGACAAAAATGCTTTAGATACCCCATGGGCCAAGAATCAAACAAATGTTGGCGGAATGTCTTACATCTGATGAATCTTTCACAATTATATGAAATGGAATCAAACAAATGTTGGCGGAATGTGTTACATCTGATGAATTTTTCACAATTAAATGAAATGAAATCAAACAAAGCAAACCCTAAATAAAAAGAGTAATATCTAAAAAATAAAAAAAAATGTACCAATACATCAAATGTCAACAGATCTAAAAACTGATAGTTGCAAAAAGTTAAAACCCACACCTAACAATGTTGCGTGATATTGGTCAGAACAAAACATCAAAACCTGAAATGTAAAAATTATCTTGTTGTTTCTAAAATTAAACCAAACACCAAAATGTTTGTAACGAAGAAATCCAACAAAAATTACAGCGCTGCGGGATTTCGTCGTAATCAGATATTGAATCATTAATGCGATGTAGAACTTAATAGTTTAACAATTCTTAGAGAAAAAAATTTTAACCATAAACTAACATGATGTAATTTTAACATTTACAGCATAAAACATACTCTAATTATCTATCAATAATATTATCTATTTAAATTCTTCGCCAGTTTATGGCAGCATTATTATTGGTAAACACATAGAAATATTGCATACCAAATTTAGTTTATCACAAATAAAAGAAAAATATTTTATAAAGAAAAAATGTTAATGTTACCCCACATTACCTTTTAAATTATATGTTAATTTACGAATACAACATAATAATAAAAAAAGAACAAGATACAAATTATATCTAAGATGGAGTAAAAAACCTATTTTATGATGTTTTGGTTGAAACGGTAACGATAGACGCATTGATACTTAAGGTAAATAAAGGTATAATTCTTTCATAATAATGCATTTTAATATCGTTGAAAATAATGACGTAAAGAAAAAAGTCATATAATTACAATTAAATGAAACGTTTTATGGGGAAAATCATTAGGAGACATACTACGCAACCCCACAATTTAAGATGGCTGCAAATTTAGATTTTTAATTTTTATTTTTTTAAAAAAGATTACAGGATCTTGTAATGAAGCCCTTTACAATCTATATCACAAAAAAAAAAATACAATATTCTTTATAATCCATATATAGAATTGACGAATACTTTTTGTTGTAATAAGCAAAATAAAGTATAATACAGCGCAATTAAAATGCTGAAAATAGATACATAAATTTTATGTTGGAATGAAAACTTCTTAAATTTTCCGAAAAAAATAGAGTTTTTGAGGAATGGATCCTTGTGGAATATCACATGTTATATTCGTTAGTAATTGCGACAAAGATTAATGTTTATGAGCTAAGTTATAAGCAGATTGTTAACGGTTACTAAGATAACTTTTGAATCAATTTAGGATTTTATCTCATACCGTAGCTTTCCAGCTTTTTAATAAAGTATGATGATTAACAGTATCAAAAGCTTATGACAAATCAAATAATATACCTAGTGAACATTGAGAATTCTTAAAGGAATCGGCAATACTGCGCGTTACTTGGAAAATAACGAGTTCACTAGAAATGTTTCTCTGAAAACCAATTTGATTTTAAAAAAAAAGTTTATTGTTAACAAGTGCGCATTCTGCTTTACATTACTCTTTCTAATATTTTTAAAAAACTGGTAGAGCTGAAATAATTTGTTATGTATGCATGGTCACCTGTTTTAAGTATTAGAGTTATTAAACTATCTGGGAAAGATTAAACAGGGAAGTTTGAATTTCACTTTTTATGCGTGATATTTTTAGTTTTATCATAAAAATTAACTCCAAAATATCTTCTTAAAGTAATAACCTCATTGACATTCATGCTAAACTTTGCTTTATTGGGGGCTTTTAATTTTATAATGTTAATCTTTTTTATTTTTCGTTGCTATTTATCAAGATCTTTGTGCAGAAGTTTTATTACATTGCTTTTGTGAGCGGGGAGAATCCATCTCAAACTATTGACTGGCGAATGTATTTATTTCTGGTTATGGCTTGAATCAAAATGTCATCCGTTGCCAAATTAGAGACAATGTTTTAAAGATTCTTTTGCGCAAAGAAGTTATTTAGTAGGATCTGCTTATTTAGTATGATTTGTAAACATGGTGTTTTGATGAATCATCTCAAACAAATTCAAATTTTTAAATTCCTAATTATAAACTTATATCTTTTGAACAAAAGACAATCAAAAGGGGAGGAAAGATGGCTCCATATATTTAAAATGATCAATCAATTGAAATAATAAAAAGCTTCTCAATCTCCAATGCTGACAATATGAAGTCTTTACGACTGATATAACGAATAAAAAATCTAAACATATTATAATTTCAACCTGATATAGAAATACCGAGGGTGATATAAGCAAATATTCAAACTATTTAAAAGAAATTTTCCTCAAAATAAACAATGAGGAAAATTTCGCGTGAAAAAAATATTAGTAATCGCGTGTTCATCATAATAAATTATGATGAACGATTACTAAATTATTTTTTGACAACATGTTCCAGATAAGAATTCTTGCAACCATCAACAAACCCACCCAAGTAAGCTCTAACTCCGTTTCTGCTATAATAGCAGAATTTGTTTATATATTGTCAATAATTGACAATATATTGACAAATTCTTTCCTAGTAACCTCCTTAAAAGCAGGAATCATTAAAACGGATATATCAGATCATTTTCCTATATATTTTTTATCATCTCAAGATACAAGAACAATTAATAATTCTAAAACTAAAATTTATAATAGAAAAATCAATCAATTTTCTATTCAAAATCTAAAAGTCTCACTGTCGGCAGTAGATTGGGGTAAAGTATACCACGAATATAAACTTGGAAACACAAACTCTACATATAATACTTTTATAGATATTATTTTACAACACTAG